TCATGAGTTCAATTCCCAGCAACTGCATGGTGGCTCCAATCATCTGTAATGGGATCCAATGCCCTCTTCTGGTGTGTCTGAAGACAACAACAGTGTGCTCAAATACATTAAATAAATAAACCTTTTAAAAATAATGATAATAGCTGGGCAGTGGTGGCGCACACCTTTAATCCCAGCACTTGGGAGGCAGAGGCAGGCAGATTTCTGAGTTCGAGGCCAGCCTGGTTTACAGAGTGAGTACCAGGACAGCCCAGGCTATACAGAGAAACCCTGTCTCAAAAAACCAAAAAAAAAAAAAAAGAAGAAAGAAAAAGAAACACCTGGATTCTGTTTCAAGCTCCATGGGTGTGGGAAGTCCCTATCGTCCTCAGATCCATAAGGAAGGTTCAGAGGAACTCTCTTAGATGTCAACCAAGTTTGTAATCCTAAAATGTAGAGCATGAGATTTGAAAGTGATTGGTAAACCTGAAAATAGCCTGTCTGTCCCTAGTGTTAAATAGATGAAAGTCAAGACTGAAAGGGATGAAATTCCACTCAAGTTTTAGCAGAACTACTGTAGATGCGACATGCATACTCCTCAGGCTTGGAGGCAGGGTTTGCTTCTGCCACGTGACTGGGTCTCAGGGTGACTTTAGAGTTCAGACTTCTCCGAATTTAGAGAACTTGCAGCTTCTTACGAGTAGTCCCTTGGGAAGTTTTGGCCAGGGCAGCGGGCTCTCCTCTCCGCCCCCGCCCCCTTCCTCCCTTTCACTGTGTGCTGCTTGGTAGTTGGAGCCAGAATCGATTCTGAAGAGTCAGAAGGCAATGCCGTGTGTGCACTGTGTTACATTGCCAGCATCCTGCCAGCACCCCCAAAGCAACAGTTTCCATCTGCCAGTCCTTCGTGGTTATCTCCCTGAGACTTCTCGTTATCTTAGCTACCCACCAAGTCTATCCTGGAACCTGATGTTCTAAGGATGCTGTACTTCTGACCAGTGAATTATGAGAGCCCCTTGATACCTTCAGATGGAGCCAGGGACTTCAAGTGGCCCTAGGTGATTTATTATTAATACTCTCAGTGGTTTCTTATGCCCTCTTGTGGCACAATTGAGGAATGGCAGGAAAATTGAAGCTGAACAAGATTGGACTTCACAATCTAGAAGCAACAGTTACTAGTAGGAAATAAGATAGTAACAATACTTGTTGCCATATGTTAACATTTTTGACATGGATACTTAGTACTCTGTGGTAAGCACTTTTCTAATTGTTTTATATGTATTTGGAGGTGGGCTGCTAAGGATTGAACCTGGGCCTCGTCCTTGTGAGGGGATGGCTCTCTGCCCCTGAACTACATCTCCAACCTGCTATATATTTATCTAATTCTCACAAGAATATATAATATAAATGCTTGTGGTGGTTTGAAAGAAAATGTCCCCGTAGGCTCATAGGGTGTGGCACTATTAGGAAGTGTTTCCTTGTTGGAGGAAGTGTGTCACTAGGGGGTGGGCTTTGAGGTCTCAGAAGCTCAATCCAGGCCTAGTGGTTCCTATATCTTTTCCTGCTGCCTGCAGATCAAGACAGAGCTCTCAGACCTTTCTTCAGCATTGTGTCTGCCTGCAGGCTGTATATGAGTGAGAACCACATGTGCTTGCTTAGTGCCCGGAGAGGCCAGAAGGCATCAGATCTCCTGGTACTGGAGTTCTAGATGATTATAAATCACCATGTGGGTGCTGGGAATTGAACCCAGGTCCTCTGCAAGAGCAGCCAGTGCTCTTAACTTCGCTCCAGTGCCCCTGACTCCAGCCTATGTTCTGAGGATAAGGAAGGTCCCTGTACCTTTCCAGCATCATGCAGAAAGTCAAATTCCTGACTCTGGGAAGTGTAGCCCTGTGGGCTTTCAGCTTTAGCCACAGTGCAGAGATTAAGCCCTATCTGGGGGTTGTGAGATAGAACTCAAGATATGCCATTAGAAAAGAATTCCAGGTAAACAATAAATAAAGTTATCAGAAGTAATCACATTAAATATTTTGTCATACTAATACCAACAAATTATTCATTGTTTATCTGAAGTAATTTAATTGAGAGTTGTATATTTTTATTTACTTAATCTAACACCTCTAATTTACAAGGTGATTTTATGCTGCCATTGGCTATCACACACATCGCTTCATTTATTATGTCAGATGCCCCAGCCTCCTGTCTCCTCAGCCCTGCAGTTTCTACCACTCTTCTTTCTTTCTTTCTTTCTTTCTTTCTTTCTTTCTTTCTTTCTCCCTTTTTCTTTCTTCTTTTAATTATTTATTTTATGTATGTGAGTACAATGTTGCTTTCTTCAGACACACCAGAAAATGGCTTTGGATCCCATTACAGATGGTTGTGAGCCACCATGTGGTTGCTGGGAATTGAACTCAGAACCTCTGGAAGAGCAGTCAGTGCTCTTAACCACTGAGCCATCTCTCCAGCCCCTCTACCACCCTGTTCATGTAGAGATTATGAAATGTCTAGCTAAGATTACAAAATGTAACCTGTCAGAGCTGGTTAAAGGCTTATACCTGTACATCTTAGCACTTGAGGCTAAAGCTAGAAAATTGTGAGCTCAAGGCCAGCCTGGGCTTCATCATGAGTTCAAGGCTAACCTGGGCTATAGAATAAAACCCTGTGCTTTTCCACAAACAAGGAAGGTCAGTAAGTATGGGCATTGCCAGCAACCCTGACTGCCTGAGTGTCGTTATTAGAACAGCCCCTGCTGAAGGGACCACTCTCATGGGTTTTCCTCTCACTTCCGTGTGCACATGCACAATAAAGAATTCTTTACCTTTAATTCCAGCACTTGGGAGGCAGAGGCAGGTGGATTTCTGAGTTCCAGGACAGCCTGGTCTACAGAATGAGTTCCAGGACAGCCAGGGCTACACAGAGAAACCCTGTCTCAAAAAACCAAAAAAAAAAAAAGAAGAATTCTTTAAAAATTAGAGATTGCTGGGTGGTGGTGGCACACACCTTCAATCCCAGCACTTGGGAGGCAGAGACAAGTGGATCTCTGAGTTTGAGGTTAGCCTGGTCTACAGAATGAGTTCCAGGACAGCCAAAGCTACATGGAGAAATCCTGTCTACAACAACAACAACAACAACAACAAATAATAATAATAATGTGAAAAACAAAAAATTAAGTTAATAAAATAAATAAAAATTAGAGACTGACCATGCAGTCCAGGTTTTAAAACTGGAATACGTTTTCTACTTTAGTAAGGAAGAAATTCAGAATATGATTGCTACCATGAAGGTCTTCATTTTCAGTGTCCCCAAACTTATTTTCTTTGTGGGATAGCAGTGGATAATTCTGTAACACTCTCCTTCCAGGATTCTAGATCAAGGAGATCTGGATTTTGAGAGATCTGGAGACATAAAAAAGATCGCTTCCTAAAGCCTAAGTAGCCAGCCCTGAGATTTTATCAGCTGCTTGGGGTCCCTGTGGCTCAGAGGGACTGTGTACCTGCTGCTCTATGCTAACAGCTTCAGGCTTGGCTGTTGTATCACTTGCAGCCCAAACAGCCAAGGGACATTGGCAGCTAAAAGGCGACAGGAGTCTGAGAAATCCAGGCCCCGGGAGCCTCTTCCACCTGCTGGCTGCTTTGGGAGTACAGCGCTCCCAGGGTGCCGCGCGGGTCTGCAGGGAAACACCCTTTCTGCATTTTTCTCTCTGGATCTGCTCCCACCCCTGATTACCTGTGCCCTTCCTTACTCACAGATATAAACAGTCCCCTTGCCTCCCCATCCATGCTGGCTGGCTTTCCTAAGGCAAAAATCACCGGAGCTTATGGGCTTGGACCCCCTGTGGGGTGCAGGCTGGGGTGCCCTGATGGTATGTGTCCCAACAGGTTCTTCTCTATCAACCTTGAAATCAGCCTGGAGCCTGTCTGACCTGCATTCCCCTCACCCCCCTCCTTTTACCCCCAGGGAGCTGGAGCCAGTGGTAGAGCCAGGTCAGAAGACTCAAGAGACTAGGTGTCTGTGGTCCCAACCTGGCCCCACAGGGAAGGCAGCGCACAAAGCCTCTTGTGTCCTGGGCTGGGCTGAGAGGTTGAGAGTTCACTTGCGTGGGTTCAGGGCCAGTTCCTGGGAGGAGAGATGCTAGGCAAGGAGGTGTTTGTTTGCTTGTAGACCCTGTACAGCCTGGTCCTCTCCCACGTCTGGGAGGGGCCAGAGTTGGAGACAACAGCTGGGTTGGTCGGCAAGAGAGAGGTCATCTGACAGGCTGCTCAGCCTAGGCTGTCCACTGCTCCTCTTCTCTGCCAGGCCACTCCAGAGCTGGTGCCTACAGTCAAGCCGCCAAGCCACAACACCTGTCTCACCTCTAGCACCTTTGGGTAAGTTCTGGAACTGAGCCCTTATCTGGAGATGGGAGAATTTACTGATTGTAGGAGGAGTGCATATGGTCCTTTTTCAGCATGACAGCATCTAGCCTCTGTCCAAGCACCCATGTTCCACAAGGACAGCCCAGATTACACCTGCTGACCTAAAGAACCCACCTGAGATTCCCCGAGGTCTGGGGGGTGGGGCAGACAGGTAGGAAACTGCTTTGCAGGTTGGATCTTACCTGTGGGGGAGACAGTGTGATAAGGAGCTGTCTTCCACCTGTGCCCATTGTGTCATCTCAGCTGCCTGAGGAGCCAGGCCAGGAAAGGGAGGCTCGTGAACCTCAGAGGGCATCATCTCAGACAAAGGATTCAGGGGCTTTGGGTGGAAGGAATTGTTTGGTGAGTTGGTGAGTGCTGGTTCCAACAGCCTCCCTAGCCAAGCTGACTTACTATAAGAAGGTGAAAGCCAGAACTAGGTTCTTCCCACTGCCTCTTCTTCCCCTCCTGAGCCTGTACACTAGTTCTGTATCCTACTGTTTGTTTTCTGCAACACAGGAAAGGAATGGGTTGAGAAAATCCAGGCCCCACATGAAAGGCCATCAACACACCCGAGTGGGACATTCCCCTCGGCTAATTCCTGTTTTCTCCTGTAGGGAAGCCAGCACCATGTCTGTGAGCTGTGGACCACTGGGAACATCTCTGACTCAGGAGATCCTCAGCTCCCTGGGCCTTGCCAACAAGGTATGGGCTGTTGGGACGTCAGAAATGTATTTATGTACTCAGTAGTGTGGGTGATTTAATTCTAGGGGCTACACTTGCCAGCTTAGTGCTCTCCCACTGAGCCACATTTCCAGCCTCAACAATACGTTTTAATGTGCCAACTCAGGGGCCAGGAGATGTTGGGGAACAGGAAAGAGGAGATGGCTCCGGAGAGACAGCACAGCTGGGTAAAAGCCTTGATGAGCTCAGCTCAATTCCTAGGACCCAAATGGAAGAAGATAACCCAGTACCATGGGTTGTCCTCTGACCTCGAGTACACAAACCTAACAAATGAACAGAGGAGGAGGAGGAGGCGGGCAGGCTCCCTCCTCATGAGGCCATGTTCTCTCTACTGCTCTTATAGACTGCAGCCTGGGGGACTCTGGGTGCCCTCAGGACGTTCTTGAGCTTCAGTGTGGACAAGGATGTACAAAGACTGCTGAAAGCTATTACTGGCCAAGGTAAGCAAGCTGTGTCCTTGGTGTTGAGGGTTTTTCATTGCTGATCTGATATTTATTTATTGAGATAGGTTCTCATTTGTAATCTGTGTAGCCTGGAACTCACTATGGAGACCAGGCTGGCTACAACTCAGATCCACTTGCATCTGCTTCCCTAGCGGAGGATTAAGAGTATACAACACCACACCTGATAGGACCTCACTCTGCTTCTCAAGCTGGCTTCAAATTTGCAGTAATCCTCCTGCAGCAGTTTCCCAAGAGCTGGGATTATAGGCAAGAGCCATCATGCACAACTGCTGGTTTGCCTTTTTTTTTTCTCTTTCTTGTTCTCATTTAAAATTTTTATTATAATTATTTTATACATGAGAGTTTTGCCTGCATGTATGTCTGTGTACCACAAGCATGCCTGGTGCCTTCAGAGGCCAGAAGAGGCAGTCAGAACTCCTGGAACTGGTTGTGAGTTAGCATGTGGTTGCTGGGAGTTGAACTTGGGTCCCCTGGAAAAGCAGCCAGTACTCTGAACCTCTGAGCATCTCTCCAGCCTCAGGTTTACTTTCGAAAACAGTCTACAGGTCAGAAAGGAAGAGGGGCAACCAGATGGCTCAGGGGTTAAAGCTCCTGCTGCCAAGACTTGAATTCAATCCTGGGAACCTCATGGCAGAAGGGACTAACTCTCAGAGGTTGTCCTCTGACCTTCACACATGCTGAGGCAAGCATACACCTGTCCCCCACCACATACATAATAAACAAATAAACAAATGTAAAAACAAAAAAGTCTTTAGGATCCAGGAAGGAGGAGCTAGCCATGCTCTGGGAGTGCCAGTGGGAGCTTGATTCTAGCACATCAAGTTCTGTGGTGATGTGTCATAGCCACCCTACAACACCTGTGTGAGGGCAGGTTCATTATTCCATTCTACACACAAGGAAACTGGAGCTCAGAGAGATTAAGAGGCTTGTCCAAGGTCACACAGCTCCCAGACTATGCCAAAGGAAGTGGGTCCCACCCAAAAAGCCCTTTTACATTTTTATTTCATTAAATTATGGTTTGGTTTTCTTTTCTTTTTTTGTTTTTTGTTTGTTTGTTTTTTGAGACAGGGTTTCTCTGTGTAGCCCTGGCTGTCCTGGAACTCACTCTGTAGACCAGGCTGGTCTCGAATTCAGAAATCCACCTGCCTCTGCCTCCCAAGTGCTGGGATTAAAGATGTGCTGCCACTGCCAGCATCTGCATTCTTGGCTTGCTCTCTTCTTCCTTCCTTCCTTCCTTCCTCCCTTCTGTTCTCTTCCCTCTCCTCCCCTTCCCTTCCCTTTCCTCATGGAATGCAGGCTAGCATCAAGCTCACTGTGTACCTAATGACTGAACTCCACATCATCCTCCCTCCATCTCTCAGGTGCTGGGGTCATCACACCCAGCTAGCTTTTCACCACATTTTAAAAAGATTTATTATTTACTTTAGTGTGTGGATGTACGTGTGCATTTTTGAGGGTAGTACCCATAGAGGCTGGAGGATGCTGGATAGTTCTTTGAGAACAGATGGAAGTAGGGGTGCAATAGCCCTGATCCTCCCTCCCCTTCCCTAGACCCAGTTCTCTTCCCAAGGTGCTGGGAATTCACAACTGTGAACTCTGGCTGCAACCTGGTTTTGTCTTGGTTTAGGTGTGGACTACGGTACCATTGTGGATGTTCTGACCAATCGGAGCAGAGAGCAAAGACAGCTCATTTCTCGAGCCTTCCAAGAGCGCACCAAACAGGTGTGACCACTGACATCCCAGGAGCTGTGGACAGGGTGGGAACTCCCCCTGGAGATTCAGCCACAGCCTGCCCCTCCCTCCTGGCTAATCAGGGACTTGGTAGCCAAACCTGGGATAAAAAAATCAAGCAAAGCTTCCTTTCCATGATTCTGGGGCTTTCCTTGACCTAAATCTCTGTCTGTCTGGGGTCCATTTTTGCAGGATCTATTGAAGTCCTTGCAGGCAGCACTCTCTGGCAACCTGGAGAAAATTGTGGTGGCTCTCCTACAGCCTGCAGCCCAATTTGATGCCCAGGAATTGAGGACAGCCTTGAAGGTACTGGGAGAGGAGCAGTGTGAGAGGAGCACTGCTGGGGTGTCTGGGGAACAATAACGCCAATGGAAAGAGGAAGAAGGACAGTTAGTTGACTGGCCTTGAGCTCTGCAGAGAGTGGGCCTAGAGACCCCCTAGGCCCTGCGGTGACCATTAGACAGAGGAGCAGCTAGTGCCTGCTCTCTAGCACTGTCTGCCATCTTGCTGAGCTAACAACATGGCCCAGTGTCACGTGGCCTCACAATTTCTTACAGACCTCTGGTTCTGCTGAGGATGTAGCCCTGGAAATCCTGGCCACCCGAGCAGCACCCCGACTGCAGGAGTGCCTAGCAGCGTATAAGCATGGTAAGATTATATGAGTGGTCCCTGAGAGCTGAAGGGTACTGGGACAATCCACTACTCTCCTACAGTCCCTGAAGATCTGGGACCCTGACAGACCAGTATCTATTCCTTTACGGTCCCAGCGTCCCTCCCCTCCACTGCCAGTGCCTCAGTCTCCCCAGGGGACAGTGCCACCTGTGGTTATTAAAAGAGGAGAAACAATGATTAACTTCGTCTGGAGCCCTGGGGCAAATTTCACAGTAATGACATTAGGCACCGTAATAGTCTCAAAGGTCCCCTTGCTGTCCCTACCATCAAACCACATCCCAAGGTTGCAGCCTGGGGGACAGGTGGAGACCTTTTTTAAGACATGCTGGCCCTGCCTGCCACAGCCTCACCTACTAATTTGTGAGCAGCCTTTCCCACCCTCTCCTCACTACACCACCTTTTTCTTGTTTTCTTTTGCTGTCTGATGCTGCTGTGTTCTTAACCCTCCCCTTACCTCTCTTGATCACATCTTGGCTCTGTTCCTCCCTACCCACACTGACAGTATAGTATGGAGATGAGATACTTTGAATTCATGATCCTCAGCCCTCACAAGTGCTGGACTTGCAAGCATGGCTGACATTTTGTTTCTCTCTTCCTCCTTCCCCCTTTTTCTTTCTGGATTGAACCCAAGGTTTCAGCACATGCTACATACTACATACATACATACATACATACATACATACTACAGTCTCCCCATTCTGTTCTCCCCATTCCCAGTCACTCTCTGCTTCATACCCTGCTTCACACATCACTTCTTGGACATTGATTAGAGGTTAGGGCCTAACCAGCTTAGTTCATATTCTGGAACTCCCTAACTCTGATTACTGCTGGTTGGGTGGTTGATACCCTCTTCTAGTCTCCTTGGGCAACCCGACCCCATACCCATAAAGTAAACATAAATCTTAAAAAAAGAAAAAAAAAAAGAGGAGGACCATTAGGGTCCAGTAGGTCAGGTGCTTGGCAAGTCCTAAAGCTATCTACCCCAAGACAATCAGGAGTCAAAAAGCTCTGGCCCTCCCTCAGATTTCCAGGTGGAGGCTGAGGAAGATATCAGGACTGAGACCAGCGGCATCCGGCAGGCCCTGCTTCTGGCCCTAAGCAAGGTGAGGAGGCTTGGCCTGAAAGGGAATGGATTTGTGTTCCTCATCTGGTCACAGCCCAGAGCAGGGAGCTCTGCTGTCCTGTGATAGACAAGGGAGAGCTTCGCAGAGACCAGGGTCTGGACGAAACACTGTCCTTCCAAGAGTTCTCCTGAGAACAGTGTCTCCTCTTAGGGGGGCCGTGAGAGCTACTCTGGAATCATTGATTACAACTTGGAAGAACAAGATGTCCAGGTAAGGAGCACTTCAGAGTTTCTATGTCCTGTACACTGTGTAGACTCCGTCCTTGACCATGTCTCAGGGCCCAGGCCTCATGTACCATGTGCTGCCAACTTCTTCCCACCTTCTTTGCCTCTGCTCCAATCTCATCTGCTGGCAGACTCTCCTCTTAGTTTAGGGATTAGTTCCTTGTGAGAGCAGCTGAACAGAGTCCTTTTCTTAATCCTGCCTGGAACTCACTCTGTGACCAGGCTGGCCTTGAACTCAGAAATCCATTTGCCTCTGCCTCCCAATGCTGGGGTTAAACTATCCCTTTTCACCCTCAGCGCCATTTCCTTCACAACAGAAGGACACCATAACTGTGGCTTCCATGTTACAATGATCCTAACTCCCTGGCCTTTCCTCTTCCCCAGGCGCTCCAGCAGACTGGAGAATCCAGTATAGCAGGTCAATGGGTCCAGCTCTTCACACAACGCAGTCCTCAACACCTCATCCGAGGTACCCGAGCTTCCTCTCCCCACCCAGCTTGCTCTATCTACTGATGAATGTGGCGGGTCACCATTCTCTGTGGTAAGTAACAGTCCCACATACCAATTTACCTCTCTAACCACTCCCCACACATACCAAAAGTGTTTGATCAGTACCGGAGATGCACTGGCCAAGAACTGGAGGATGCTATCCGGAACTGTTTCCATGGAGATGCCCAGCTGGCTCTGACCAGCCTAGGTAGGCACCTACTCAGAAGTGTGGAGTTTTATTTCGATGGAAGGCTGTGGCCCTGACATGCTCTCTGTCCTTCCACCTTTGCTTCTAGCTTCCATGATGAGAAACACAGCGCTGTACTTTGCTAACAAACTCCACCAAGCCCTTCAGGTAAGAGGCACTCTGCTCCTGCCCTGCCTTGTAGCTTGTCTTTTCTACCTTGTGGGTTCTTCTTTCTTCCACCCTTTCAACGCCCTAGCAGGAGATAAGAGGAAAAAAGGGTAGAGAGGAAGGAAAGATATTTCTGAATAAAGTCAGGGGTCAGAAAGGGAGTGATATTACGTTAGACTACTTCCTGCTGTTTGGGGGAATTGGGTTTCTTAGGGCAGGTTTCATCTTCTCCATCAGGACATCTAGTTTCTTGTTTCTTCTTTGTACATGACTACTTATCAAACCTCGACCAACGGGAGCTGGCTAATAACCGCCCCCCTCGTGGGCGTCCTAGCATCGATGTACCTTCTGAAAAGTCTCCAGAATTCCAAACATCTCACAACCACAGAAACTCTCTGCAGCTAGCAAAATGCCGGTGCCAGAGCAGGAGGCAAATCAGTCAGCTGCTGTGGACAAACCCAAAGCAGCCCCACATCCCATACCTGGGATTAAAATGAAAACACATTCTTAAAATATTTCTGTGTTTTTCAAAGAAACCAAAACTCCAATTGACATTACACTGCCCTTCAGAACCTCCCGTGGAACTCAGACGTTGGTGCCCCCCATGTCTACAGACAGGGTAACAGCCAGAGGACTGCTCTTTGGTTAGAACTAAGTTAGATGACCCACAAGACACTGAAGCCAAGGTCGGCCTTAATGTCTACCTCTGCACCAAAATCTTTGCCCAGTATGGCTTTTGTCAGAGGTGAAGGTGACACTCTGCACAGTGGTTCCCAACCTTCCTGACCTGCGACCCTTTATAAAGACCCTCATATGTTGCGGGGACCCCAACCACAAAATTATCTTCATTGCTACTTCATAACTGTAATTTTGCTAGTTATAAATCGTAATGTAAATATCCCATATGCATGTGGGACCCTGTGAAAGGGGTCAAACCCACAGGTTGAGAACTGCTGCTCTAGAAAGAATATTAGGTAGCATGGGGTTGAATTCCTGTAATCCCAGCACTCAGGAGGCAGACTACAGAGTGAGGTTCAGGAAAGCCAAGACTACACAGAGAAACCAGAAGAAATAAATAGATCCTGCCAGTCTGGAGAATGGGGGCCCAGGGTGCTGAAGACATTACCATCTCTTTGTTTTTCTTCTTTTTATCTCATGGAACAAGGACAGTGCATAATAGTGTGTGTGTGTGTGTGTGTGTGTGTGTGTGTGTGTGTGTGTGTGTGTGTATTTAAAGGAATATAATAGCCAGGCATTGGCGGTGAAGAGCACACCTTTAATCCTAGCATTTGGGAGGCAGAGGCAGGTGGCAGATCTCTGTGTTTTGAGGCTAGCCTGGTCTACAGGTTGAGTTTCAGGACAGCCAGGAATACACAGAGAAACACTATCTTGGAAAAAAAAACCACAATAAAACCAAAAACAAGAAAATAAATAAATAAGAGGGGGCTGGAGAGATGGCTCAGAGGTTAAGAGCACTGACTGCTCTTCCAGAGGTCCTGAGTTCAATTCCCAGCACCCACATAGCAGCTCATAATTGTAACTCCAAGATCTGACACCTTCACACAGACATAAATGCAGGCAAAACACCAATGCACATAAAATAAAAATAAATGCAATTTTAAAAGGGATGTGTAATACATGAAAGGTTAGTGCCACCACACTCTGGTAGACAAAGAAGCCTTAAGCACCATGCCCCATTGATGACTATTCAAAAGACAGTCTGTATACGCCCTTGCTCAATCATCGAGATATCCATCTTGACAACAGATTGTTATACTTAGCTAAGAAAGCCTGGATCATTATGAGTCAAATCCAGGATTCACCTGAAGACCTGTGCTTATCTGAGTTCTGATGTAAAATCCAGTCTGTAGGCTGGGAGCAGCTTAGTGGCAGAGCACTTGTTAGGCCTGTAAGGCTTACATATGAGGGAACTGACACATGTCCTAGTGTACTGGGATCATGAGACCCACATTCTCGGATATAAACGTCAGAACCTATCCTGCTAGCCAGGAGACATACTCTTGCAATCCCAGCACCTGAGAAGTAGAAGCAAGATCAAGAGTTGGAGGTTGTCAGGCATGGTGGCCACACCTCAAATCCAGTCTAGAAGCAGAGGGAAGTGAATCTCTGAGTTCAAGGCCAGCCAGTCACTTGATGACACCTATCTCAAAGCTATATAGTGAGTTCAAGGTCAGTCTAGGGTGCATGAAATAATGTCTCAAGAACAAAAGCATGGCGTGGAGAGATGGCTCTGTGGTTAAGGGTTTCACATTCTTCCAGAGGACCTGGATTGATTCCCAGCACCAATGTCCGGCAGTTCACAACAGCTCCAGGAGATATGAAGCCCTCCACAGGCATCTACACCCATTTGGCATAGACACACACACACACACACACACACACACACACACACACACACACAGCTTCACATAAAACCAAATGTTGGGCTGTACACGGTGGCTTACACTTTTAGTCCCAGCATTTGGATCTCTTGAGTTTGAGGCCAGGCAGCGATACACACTGAGATCCTGTCTCAAAAAAGAAACAAAAAAACAAACAAAAAGTGTCAGTGGTAACTAGCATGTTCAAGACTCTGGCTTTGATTCACTAGTGCCACAAGAAAGGGCAGAAAAAGATCTTTATCTGTAATCCTTCTGTGAGAACAGACAGCAACTTTGGCTCTTTTATTGCTTCTACCCTTCCTTTGCTTCCTACCCACCCTCTGTTCTTGGTGAGAATATCCCCTAACTGCCTGCTACATACTCCCCAGTGTGCTTCTTTACCAGGAAACTGAGCCCAATTTCCAAGTGCTGATGCGGGTCCTTATCTCCCGAAGCGAGAGTGACCTTCTCAGCATTCGGGCTGAGTTCAAGAAGAAATTTGGGAAGTCTCTCTATTCTTCTCTCCAGGTAAAACTTAGCTATTTTTCCCCTTCAAGACAGGTTTCTCTGTTTAGCCTTGGATGTCCTTGAATTCACTTTGGAGACCAGGCTGACCTCAAACCAAGAGATCTGCCTGCCTCTGTTTCCCAAGTGCTGGGATTAAAGGCATGTGCCGCCACGGCCAGACTAAACTTGGCTATTTCTTACCCTGGAGCCTGGCATCCTAGCCCTTCCCTCTATCTCTATTTCCTTCTGCTGAGTGTAGAACTCCAGGCACAAGAGAGAGGTCTTTCCTTGATGAAGAGCGATGTATCAGCGGGAGGTGGTGGTAATGAGGTTTTCTAATATGATTTTCTAACACTGATTCCCTTACCTGCAGGACACAGTCAGAGGGGATTGTCGGTCAGCACTTCTGGCCCTGTGTAGAGCTGAAGACATCTGAGACTTTCCTGACCCACCCTGACTTGGCATTCAAAAGTCTGAGATTCCCATATTTGGTTGAACACATGGAAGAACCCTAAGGAACACCATATACCCTTCTTGAGGCTGGACCTCTAAGTTTCTTTGATATCTTTGGATTTCCCTCTTCTCAAAGTGGCATCTTCCAGCTCCATTCTAGAGAGGAGTAACAGGGGGTCTCAGGTAGTGTCTGCCGTACTCCATCTCCCTAAAGGCCAGAACATCTCCCTGGTAGTCAAACATTTTGGCAAATTCACTATCTTCTTATGTTTCCTGGTTAAAGTTTGGGTGGAGCAGGCCACAGACTGGGAAGAGACCATGGAGCTGAGGTGCCTTTGAAGTCTACTCAGCTATTCAACAGGAATCCTGTTTTTGCCCCAGCATGGCACTTAACAGTTATCAACATACCCTCCCCTTGGGTCTCCTTCCCAGGAAATGAAGAACAGTAACTTTCCTGCAATTCATTTTGTCCGTGCAGGGATTTGGAAATACACCTCCAAGTAGAGTCAAGAGCATTACTTCCCATAGAGCACCTACGAAACCCAGGAAATGGGGAACGTTTGGGCTCCCCCTGCTGGCTCTGTGAGAAATGACAGGCAACCTCTCACCTCCCGGGCTCCTCCCCTGCTCACATTCCTCAACTGGGTCAAATACTTAACTCTACTGCTCCAGGGTAGGAATGCAAATCTCAGGAAAGAAGTTTTATTTCCAAACTCCTAGGAAGGCATTAAGAATAATAAAGATAGAAACCCAAACCAAACCCTAAAACAAAGACAAGCCTGTGGGTGAGCCTGGGAGCAACCAGACAGGCAGGGACACAGGAGAGATGCTTTCCAGATAGGTGCCTCACCTAGCAGCCTGGGTCAGGAAAGGGGGCTGGGCACCAGAGATCTTCACCCAACCCACACCCATGTGGCCCTGGATGAGAAGAAGACAGCAACACAGGGGCAAAGATGGTACCAAGTCTGACCTTGGCACCTACTATCTGTCCTGATCCCCAACAGTGCATATAGGTTACCCTATATGCCTCCGAGATTGAGGTGGGGTGAGGTACTGTGAGTCACAGCCCCTGAAAGAAGGGGTAGGTTGTATGGGGTGGAGTCAGAGGAGAACACAGTCTGACTCAGTCTTTGACCTCTGCCGCCGCTCTCCAGCTGGGCGTCCAGATGTGGTTCCTCTCCCCTGTGTGAGATTTAGCAGTTGGTTATCCAATAACTTTGGTAGAGGTCACAGACATTGGGGTTCAAGATCAAAGGCAGCACAGGTTATGAGGGGAAACTTTCCAGAGACCTTACCAAGATCACATGCATTCTACAACAAGCCAGGCAGTGCCCCATCCAGACACAGGATGCACTCCATGCCAGGTCAGGCCAGCACTCTTGCCGACCAAGAGAAGGGCAGGCTCACCTGGGGCGAAGGCGCCCTTGTTCGCACAGGTTGAACTGCTTGTTGTTGTTGATACTCTTCTTGTTGAAGTTGTTGGGCCAGTTCCAGGTCACTAAGGCCCAGCATGCCTTGTGGCTGCTGCTGCTGCAGGGATAAGGCAATAAGGTAGTCCTAGAGAGAAAACAAGTCACGAATGGACTAAGACCAGAAGGATAGAGATTCAGGCCAAACTTCCAAACCAGGTTTCCTTCAAATACTCACACTAGTAGAACACATATGTATGTTATCTGTGGTGCCAAAAAAATCAATCACCCCAAGCAAGGAAATGACTTCAGGGTAACATGAAGATGCATGGATGCTGGACAGCCTCCAACCAATATAATGCATAAAGTTCACTTATAGGGAACAGTTTTGAAGCCAATGGTTCCTGCGCCATTCCAGAAGGCCTCACACACCTGGTCCACCTGCAGCTGCTTCTCTGGAGAGCCGCTGCCACCTTCTGCTCCATGGCTTTTGCCTAGGGAATGACTTAGGTGGAAGTCAGAGTCACAAAAGCAGCTGTCGCCATCCACGTTGTGCAAGCTCTCCCACACCACCTGCTCCTCCTGTAGAAAACCTTGGTCAGTGACCAGTAGGTACAGATGACTCTGCAAAAGAGAGACACAGCCAGGGCTGGAAGTTAGCTCAGTACTGGAGCAGGTGCCTGACAAGTCCTCAAGGTCCCTAGATCTGAACCCCCAAGGACATGCCTCCTTACACACTCATCCCATAAGCTGAAAAGGACAACAAATTGGTGGGACAGGTGACAGAGAAGCAGCTTACAGCCAAGGTACCTCTTAAGACCTTCTCAATCTGCCCATCTACTGGAATTTGACATTGTAAGCATCCAGTATTTCCTAAATATGTGTGGCTACGGGAAGCAGGAAGGGAAATCTGGACACAGATGGGTGCGCTGTGGTTAAGGAACCCTTGGGGCTAGGGTATCACACTAGATCCAGTTTTCTACTATCTTTCCTTTGCTTCTGTTTTCAGATGTATATAGATATAAACCCTTTTGAGAACCAGAAAAACTGGATGTGGTGATGCATGGTACAGTCTTAGCCCCTGGGAAATGCCAGGCAGGAAGATCAGAAGTCGAAGGCAAGGCCGGGTGTGGCACCCTTTAATCCCAGCACTCTAGATGTAGACAGACTTGAGTTCTAGGCCTGCTAGGGCTGCCCAATGATAGACTGGGTGGGGGATGGGATGGAGGGAGGCGCAGAACCGTTGTTCTCTCTCCTACCCCATTCCTAAAGAACTCCCACTCCTAACTCTGGAACCCCACTGCCCCTTTCTGGGAGAGGATTAACTGTCCTGTCTCTTTGATAGAGGGTTGATTCCTCAGGATCCGCTCTGGTCAGTATCATTTCCAAGCAAATGCATTGAGAACAAATGGACTATGTTACTCTCTTTTCCTGCATATATAATGGCTTTTTTTTATCAACCGGAGTCCCAGGGTAAAGATGGTGTGACACAGGGTGTAGCCAGTTTGCACTGGGCATGCATCATGAGTTAGCAACAAACACTGTGGTAAACCACACTGATTTCAGTGGTTGTTACCATGGCTTAACCCACTTTATCCTGCCCGACACACTGAACCCAGGGAGAGAGGCACAGGGGAATGACACGGTTCCTGACACTGAACCCAGGGAGAGAGGCACAGGGGAATGACACGGTTCCTGCTCCCTCCTCCAAAGTCCCATCACCTTGTGCTTAGTCATCGTGCTAAAGTGGTTGTTTCGAAAAAAGACACCAAGTTCATCTTCCTTAGCGGTTCCTGTGAGCTCGCACAGGCCATGGTAGGTCAGCTGTGCTGCAGTGGTCTCCAGGAACTGTTCCGCAATCAAGCCTGCCAGAATGCAGAAACCAGAAGAGACATGACTTGAATCCAAACCCATGATAGGAAAAAACAAAACAAATCAAAAGGGCTAGGCGTTTGGCTCAAGCATTGAAAAAACGCTAAATTCAATCCTGGGTGTGGTGTGAACACCTTTAGCCCCAGGCCTGGCTAGGCAGAGGCAGGTTAATCTCTCTTTCATACAACAGTTCCAGCCTAGCCCAGGCTACATAGAGAGACCCTGTCTCAAAAAAAAAAAAAAAAAAAAAAAAAAAACTAAAGCCTCCCACAACTCCCAGCATAGCTCCAAAGTCCAAGATAAGGGGGTTTTTGTCCAAAAAGCCCTACGGTGCTCTCCTGAGTCCCACTTTTCAAAGCCCCTTCCTCACACTGGAGTAGTTCAGAGTTAGGCCATATGTTTAGCATGTACAAGAGCCCAGATTGGACTCCCAGCAGCGCACACACACACACATAGAAGTTGAAGCCAGGCTTGGCAAGGCATGTCTGTAATCCTGGTACTTAGATACTGGAGGCAGAAAGATCAGAGGTTCAAAATCACTCTCAGCTCCAAAGCCAGCCTGAGCTAAGAGCCCCTTTTGCACCCCAGTCCTCAGAGTGGAGATAAAAACCCCTTCCTTAAAGCCTGGCTGTATTTATTCATTCACCCAACAGAGCAAGAGCAGGAGTGCACAGCTGTAATCTGGGCTCTCAGGAGGCTGGTGCAGGAAGATCACAAGTTTGAGACTAGCCTGGGCTATGTAGTGATTCCAAGGCCAGCCTGAACTACATGAGACCTATGTCAAAAAGGAAAAAGATGTCTCTTTTTTCTCTATACATATTACACAAAATAACAACAATAATAAGCCTACTCCACTGCCCTTGCCTCCACAAGAGATCTACCAGGAAATGGACTACGACCATTACCTTCTGTCACAAGGTTGGAGTCACTAGAGTGTTTACAGGTGATTATCTTCTCTACCAGCTGGTTGTAACTCAGTTTCCCAACAGCACTCACAGCCTCAGGACTCTGGGAAGCGGAATGGGGTGCAGCAAAAATAAACTTTCTGTTTTTAAAGGAAGGAAATGAACCAAACCCATTGGACTATGGCTCTTATGACCAAAGGTTCCTGAACTTTTGATGTCCAAAGACTTGATCTTATTTGTGTGTGGTTTCCTCATCCTGAGATGTGACTCCACCCAACATTAGAATTCAAGGAACCCTGGGTCAGTTCAATCTCCAAACCTACCCCTCCTCCAACTGATCCAACCCTTCCCTCCCCGATGTCCCACCCCATCCAAAACCTTTTCGCCTTACTCATGACGGCTTGGCCAACATTCCCCAGGGCCTCCTGTCCTCACCTGTGGATCCACAAGCCAGCCGTGGTATAGAGGTATCCCCAGCAAGTCAAAGATGCTGCACTCCGGTGTATACTCAAAGTCTGAGACGCCTGTGAATCGCACATTGACGTCCAGACCTGTGGCCAGTTTAGGAAGCACCGTCATTGCATCATCTACATTCTGGTGGGAGATAAGACAAGATGGCTGGTCTAGCATTCCCTCCCTCACACCCACCATCCCATGTTTTCATGTCTGGCTTTCTTATAAACCACTCATTTCACCCACCTCTTACCTCAACATCCCCCCCCCCTTTGTGAGACAGGGTCTCACTACATATCTCTGGCTATACTGAAACTCACTCTGTAGGCCAGGCTGGCCTTGAACTCACAGATATCTACCTCTTTCTGCTTCCCAAATGCTGCAATTAAAGGCATACATCACTATGTATAGACGGGCAGTGGTGGCGCATGCCTTTAATCC